TTTTATTCATGACCTTCATTACCAGGCAACTATGGCTACAATAAGTACACAAAGCCTTCATGATTTAAGATGTCTTATCACCTGTGCTATGCTCACGACCCTAAACCTTCTGTCTGTAATAATACACAAATATTAAATAATATACATAATTCAAAGATAAGCTAAATCCTAGAATGTTATTCAGAAAGTAATCTTTCTGAAAATAGTTTAAATTTTGAAGAGAACGTAAAAGCAATGTACACAAGAGCTCAATATATAGTAAAAGGAAAGAAAACAAAAATCATTTTGATAGAATATAATGGCAATTTTAAATTATTTCTATCTATTATGAATTTCTATCCCCTGTTTGAACATTCAAGAGAATTATACTTTTTCACTCTTACACATGTAAATAAATATAAGAATAAATGGGAGTTGATCCATTTCCAAATTGAACATGTAACCAAGTTGTTTACATAAAGGGTGAAAAGGTTGCATAAACATTGATCTTCATAATTAGTTTTAAAACAAAACATAAAATAGATGAAAATGCAATCAATGGAAACATGTATCACTGAATTTACTTAATTAGTAACAAGAGTGAAACTATTGTTTCATATCACCTACACTTTTTGTAAATATTTGAATTCAGAAACACTATTGGTAAGGGAACCCTATGATACAGACAAACGTAATTTACATGATTGGCAACATATTATCGGCATATCAAGTGAATTGCAAAATAGAACAAAGTTTGAAATGATTTTTAGCCTTTAAATTAGAATTATAAATGAAATGATGTTCTTTTTTATCAATAAATACAGAAATAAAGTATTTTGATTTTTCTGTTTTTTAGTATTCATTTTGGTTTAATATACTAAAGAGTCTCTTTCAACACTTAGGTAATATTCAGTTTGTGAATGTTAAATACCATTTCAGCTCTATTTATTATTCAGCAAAAGGACACTTTCGAATCAAGGATTAACACAATATATATCACAGGCTCAGAAATTTCAATTTGCAGCTGTCTTTACCAAATAATGAGAACCATCTGGACTGATTGATGTGGAAACTGAGAGTAACTGATCCTGCAATTGAGAAGCTTTTATGAAACATGAAATTAAACATGATGATATTAAGCATTCTCAAGTTCATCAGAATGACACATCAAATGTAGTACTAGCTGTTCATTTTCTTTTCATATTTATTTACAGAGCCCTGAATGGCAAAATAGAATAGAAAAAAATCACCATACTGATGTATTAATCAAGGATCCACACTTCCTTTGTTACAATGAGCATATGATCTAGCACAAGAAGATATTGACTCTTCATCAGGTGGCAACTGTAAGTCAGCAACATTAATATACTTAGAATTATTAATATGCAGATTGAACTTAAAAGGTAAAACTACTATAGAAGTAAATCAGCAAGAATTATGCCTATCGTTAATAATGTTATTTCATTTCATTTTCTTCTAATTTGTCTCTTAGCAAAAGGAAACCACTACAAGTATAAAACATTTCCTAATTTTCATACCAATTTTCATGGGAAGAAGTTTATTCTTTCCATTTTAAGGATAACAGGACAAGTTCTCCTGTGACTATATCACATGTTCAAGCCTAAGTAAATGAGAGCCTCGACCAAGTCCCAAAATTTACATTTAAAAAAATATATCCTATCCCCTACTACTTTTGCACTATGGTATATCTTGCTAAGGGAAAATTTCCATAGAAAACTCAAAAGTTTAAACATTTACTTGTTCAACAGTTTATTCAATATTTTATACTACATATAATTCTTTGTTCTTTCCATGTATAATTGACACTAATTCAAGGAAATTTGACATTTGCGTGCTATTCAGCTCTCTTAGTGATTCTGGCATTATTCACATGACTCTAGTATCAAAACAATATTTAATTAACAGGAATCTTTTAACTTTCTAATTACTTATAATAAGTCAGCAATAGATACCATAATGTCTTGTTTTCTTGAAAACAGCAGTTCATACCATCACACATAATAAAATTGAACAAAACAAAACAGAGTAAAACCAACTAAACAAAGAATGAAAGCATTATAGGATTTCAGAAAAAAATAGGAAACCCACCAAGAGTATCATAATACATCCCATTAGGTTCAAAATACCTTCCCATATGACCAGACACAGGAAAATCTAATAAACAAGACAGAACAAATACAAGCCTAACAAATTTTGAAAACAATACAAGAGTTCAAAACAAGATAATAAGAAATTAACAGTAATTACCGCCGTTCGTTCCCAGGTATTTCTTCCCCTGTCACTTTCACAATAACTATTTTGCTTTTTGGATCCCATTAACTCCTTCTGTTTTTTTATGCTAAGCTTCACTCGTATGAGTTTAAACTGTTTCACCACAAACATGATTTCCAGTTGCATCCATTTACCTACAAGAGCCTAGAGAATATTCTACTGTATATCTAAGTAGCATTGTATAAAAATGCTGTATCTTTCTTACCCATTCTGCAATATTGATATTTATATTATATTTAATTCCTTCTTTGGAGATATATATTTACCTCAAAAAATCTTAATACATTATTATTGCTATAAAGCTGCCAGAGTGATTTTATGGAGGACATGATATTTTACAAGTAATAACAGGAAAAATGGATCCTTAGAGATTATGGAGAAAAGGGGGGATTTTGAAAATAAAACACATCTTGAGAAATGAATGCCTCAGGGAAAGAAGCAATGAGTCAGTGGCTGGGGCAAAGGAACTGTCTAGGCAGTAAGATGTGTCTGTCCAGCAGCGAGTTTACCCTTATCTAAACAAGTGATGCCAAAATCTCATGGAGCCTGTGAAACTGAAAATTTGCCTAATATAGACTTCACTGCAAGAGCTGAGGTCGTGTAACTGACTGAAGAGGTCCATAAACCACGAGCAAGTTAGAATGAATTAACTGTGATGTATTTCCACATTTTCCCTTTGGTGTACGAACTGAACAGATAACGCTTCTACAATTATGTAGGAAGTTTTCGTACTTGAATGAAACATGAAATTAGTCACGCGATTGAGGCTGTTTGAAGAAAGGAAAGTATCTATAACAGACTTCTCCAAAGACATTCCCATACTTTTCATTTCTCCTTGTAGAATACACTGAGCCTTGACAGAAGCGCCAAAAACAAGCACCTCAAGAATATCCTCACTCCAATTCCACAACCTAAAATACTTGTGTTTGTTACCTTTGTTTGGAAGAATTATCCTTAATTTTTCAAAGTAAATGTTATAACTCTACCTTGTATTGGGTATATTTTGCATGCCCAGTGTATTCTAAATACTTTTGAGGATATTATCATTCCTATTAGGGTTAGAACTTTACATACATAGAGCTAAATATAAATTTTGATATGAGGTGCTATTGTGCATTCTTTATTACTCATGAAATAACTGAAAGCCAGGGAAATTGAGAAAGTATTCGACTTTTTACTCCTGGGTGGTACAACAGGCTTAAACAAAATTGACTTCAGAGAGCAATCTTCTAACCTACTTTCTACTAGATCATCAGCATTTATACAGCAGAAAAATATCTGAGAATCATTAGTTAATATATCAACTATTAAAGAAACTGATGCAAAAACTCTAATATGTATAGTAATTTGCACACAATTTGTAATGTACTATATTTCTTTACAAAGGTTATACTACAAAGGAGCAGGCTTCTCTTGTTTGGGAAATAATTCTGGACTCTATCATTTTATAGATTTTTGCCTTACATTTTCTAACTTTATCACTTTCATATATCTCATGGAATAGGAGAGAAGAGTGGAAAGAAAGTGCGCCTGAGTCCTAAAAGCCTTGCTCCAAAAACGTTGCACATCATTTCCATGAGCACTTCAGTGACAATAACTGGTGATGTATCCATGTCGAGCTGAGAAATTTAGTATAGTTGTGTTCAAAGGAAGAAAAGGAAAGCAACTTGGGGAAACACTAAGAGTCTTCTGATATAAAGAATCAAATCACCATAAGAGTCAATGATTGAATCTATCAATTTAAAAAGTTCATTGAAATTGATAATAAGTCAGCAATATTAACATGTTTTAAAAATATTATGTGTTTTAAATTTTCTGTACTGTGTTAAATTTTTTTTTTGGTTGAATGCTAATATATAACTCTGCAGGACTCTGCTGTGAATCCATCTAAACTAACCAGCGCCACACTTGATGACTTCTGATTTCCCCTGAAGATCATTATGAAAGTTATTTAATTTATAATTCTCATTTGTGTGTAAAAATTAAAAAATGACCCATAACATATATAAGGTATTAAGTAAATAAAATGTTATAATTGTAAATTATAAGACTTTAACTATAAAGGAATTGAATTCTTTGGATTGAGTACTGAGTAGTCCATCAGTAATGTTAGTTTGCTTGTCAAGTTTCCATCTGCAGGCTCCTCATTCTACCTCTTTTCCATTACTTTCACATTGCCCATCCTGTTTCCTTAGATGATGACATTCACCCTAACCTCCTCTCAACTGACAAAGAAGCTTGTGATTTAAAAATTCTGAAGATGTAGCTCAGTGGGACAGTGCTTGCCTGGCATGTGTATATCACTGGGCTCAATCTCCAGCACCTAAATGTATACATACATACTTTAAAATAAAGAGTACTAGTTATACATCTCACGTTTCGCTTTTAATTATATAAATTTAATGCATCTATCTGCTGTTAACTAGCTTGTGCTAGCAGTACCATTAATCCATACAACACATTATAAAGGGCACGTATTACTGGTGCTAATAGTAATTAGCATTGTATACATTGCCACTAAAAAAAAAAAACAGAAAACAATACAATCTTATCTGAGATGAACAAAAACAGTGCCTTGTCTTCTAATCTAAGTCCACCACTACTTCTGCCTCACAATGAGTTGTTCCTCTTCATAAATAATCAGAAGTACCATTACTGTTTATTTCCTACAATTATCACACTCGAGCATAAATTGTTACTTTATTGGAACATAAGTATAGAAGATAGAATCTCTCACAAAGCTTGGTTATAATATAGACGTAAATCTGTTCTCTTCATTCTAGTTACTTCTTTCTGTATTTTTAAGGATCTCTTAAACACTTGTGAGCTTAGTACCAAATCTAGACACCGTAAGATAAAAATCAATATAGCTGGGGCTGGGATTTTAGCTCAGCGGCATAAGCGCCTGCCTTCCAAGCAGGCAGTCATGAGTTGGATCCTGGTACCGGTAAAAACGAAAAAGACCAAAAAAAATCAATATAGCTACGTGTTCTATGATCTTTTCTCTCTTATTCCTTTGTTGGCAACCAAAAGTAAGTACTAATCTCTATTTTAATGTTGGCTGTGTGTGCACAAGCAAGTATGCTGCATAGATATGTATATAGTTTTATGTTGAACTTTCTTAAAGTGTATCATTATATGGGTAGTTTTCTGAGTTTTAAATTTAAATATGTCAATATTATGCTATTAATATTTGGCCATGTTGTTGAATATACCTGAGGTCAATTCATCTTTACTATTGTGTCAGTTCTATTTTGGTAAATATGCTCCAATACTTTTATCCAATAGGCATTTAAGACATTTGGTATTATGAAGATCACCTCTATAAAAAAATGATTGTTGGTGCATAACTGCATTAATATTCCATAAGTGTATTATCAGTTGTGGAATTTCCGGTTCCAAGCTCATGAAACTGTATATTTTTCAGATGTTTATATTCAATATCAAAGCATATCACGGGGGAAAGGAATAAATGGTGACGAGAACAGTGATAGCACATATGAAAATAACTGGAATTGAATTTGTCTCTTATGAAATAAACACAAAAACCAAATGTCTGAAACACTTCAAGTAAAACAAGCACCGATAAAATATAAAGAAGATTTGCATTTTGGACCAATTTGGAGGAAAAGGGTTCACATCACAACCCATCTCCCCATAGTGAACATACAATAATGAAAATGATTTTGTAAAACAATTGTTTCCTAGATTTTAGGTACTAGGTAAAGAGAGGTAATGATGCCAGACAGAGAGGAATGGAAAATAAAGTCAGTGTTACAAATAAAGTCAGTCTGGTTCTCCAGCATACTTCCTGGAGGAACTTTCCAGAAAAAGGCATGAAGAGGGGAAGCAGAGGCAGGTCCCATTGTGTTGAGGAGAAGAACCAAGCAGGCAGGGTTCATGGAGCAGAGAACCAGAGGACAGTGCACTAGAGTACCAGAGTACCAGAGGAAAAAGGGCCTGAGCATCAGCAAAGTGAACCCTTTGATAACATCACCAAGAAACCCATTTCCAGAACAATATCCAATGTTTTCAGATGAGAGAACAAACCAAGACCTTCAAAAGACTGAGGAAGGGGGAAGGTAACAGAGACTACCCCACTCATAACAGGAAATTGGTAGCTCTGTTATTCCCACTGGAAAAATAATGCTTCATAACATGTTGGCTCAGTGGTTATAATTAGCTCTCCATAGAATTGTTCTGATCCCATCAAACAAACATGATGAGCAAAATCTGAAAATGTCAAACTATTTTTGAACCTTGCTACATGCCCAAATAAAATACAAGAATATTTTTAGGAATACAAAATCATCCTGCATCTATCATGGCAAAATTCTCAGTTTGACATTCAGTAAAAATTACCAAGAATGCAATAAAGCAAGAAAATACAAACCATAATGAATCTAAAGGAAAGATTACTTGATCAAAACTTCTATGAATTTAGAATTATCATAAAGTTACATTAAAAACTCATTTTCACCTACATTCCATATAGTTAAAAAGCTAAGTGAAGGAAAGAAGTATATGAAAAAAGATCCAAGTGAAAATTTTAGAAATGGAAGCTACAAGGTATAAGAAAAAAAAATACATTGGATGAGAATATATTACAGTAGATTAGAAGGTTGTAGATAGAAAAACAAAATCAGTGAAGCGAAAGATGATGCAATGTACACTGTATTGAATGAATGAAATTCAGAGAAAATAACTTGCAACACTCATAGCAGCTGGAGCCAGGGCACAACTTCAGTCAGCTCAATACCTGTGAGTTCCACCATGAGAGGAGAGAAAGGCAGAGTAAAATAAAGTATTTGAGTAAATCTGGACTCAAAAATTACAGCTTTGATGGAAGCATAAACCAAGAAGCTAGGTGAACCCTAGCCCAAGTACCATGAAGAAAACTACTACAAAACACAAAATATTCACGCTGATCAAAAAGTAGTGATAAAGAGGACATTTTAGGAACAGCCAAAGGAAAAAAGTCATGTTATAAGTACCTGAACAAAGATGAGGAGAGTTGTTCCTTAGGAAGAATCCAAGCCACTTTGGAAGATTATTTTAATTTTTACCTCGAAAATACCAATAAACTGTAAAAATATCTTTCCCAACTGAAAGTGTGAAATAATTTTTTAAGCAAAACCCCTGTAAGTACAAAAGACTGTGTAATTTGATTACGTTTTTGATTTTAAAGGGAATAAAACAGTACATAAAACAAAACAAAACAATGATAGGACAGTAGGAAATCCTCAATTGTTACTAAATTGTATATTGTTATCCTCTAAATACTTGCTCAGACTGCAGTCCCAGGCTTGCAAAGTCATCAAACAACACATATATCACACAAGAACTTCTCAATGCTCTGAAATGATATCAGTGTGAAAATAAACAGATGAATATTTCCTTGATTTATCACTGATAATACCTATAAAAGAGTGACAAGTCCAATAACAAATTTCCCATTTTTGAAGCTCAAGTTTCTGTAGAGTATTTCCTATTAATAGTAATTAAAATTCCCTAGAGAAATGACTAATACCAGTCAACGGAACAGGAAATGTTTGAAGATGATTCTTAAAGACACTGCCATCCATGACAACAAAGAAACTAGGGAAGAACAGTAGGACTATGTCTAAAAGACACCAAGGAGCACACCTAGACAAACTACTGTGGCCAAAAGTGATGCAATTTGAGCATCACTAATGGATTATATCTGTCTTTGGATTTAAAATACATGAAATATGTTTATGTCATTGAGTTGATAATGATGTTCAAAAAACAATTGGAAAATCTTTAGAAGGTACTAAGGTACTAAGAAACATTATTTTTAAAATAGTTTCAAAAGAGGAAAAATGAATACATTTTCCTTTTGGATGTCTATATCTAAGGGCAACAAATTGCTAATGAGTGGTTTCTCTTTATGATGGTATTACACTGACACAGAAAGAAATAATGAAAGAATTGGAAAATTAGCAATACTTAATGGAATAATAGATTATATGCAGTAAACATCAATGGCTAATAAAACCATAAAAGTGGTAATCTATTTTGATGAAATTATGCAATAACTCCTTATGTGGCAGAAAGAGTTGATATTCTCAATTCATCAAAATCCTACATATAAAGCCTAATAATGTGTCTTAGTGGTAGTGTACCTGCCTAGAATATGTGAGGACCTGGATTCAATCTCTCATGCTCTCACCCAAAAACAATTTATTGATGTAATAACCAATTACAGAAAAAAAGACATTATAAAACAATGCCCCATAGAGACTCTGTGGAATAAAAATGAAACTGTCAACAAAAATAATGCAAAGGAAAGAAAATAAACAGTGGAAAATCTATTAATTAAAAGATACTTCCAGAAATCTCAATCAATTATAGTGAAGGCACTTGCGTAGACCTATTTCCAAAAAATTGAAAAATTAAATTATTGAAAATACATGAATTACAGTTGTTTTTGGAACTAATAAATTGTTATTAAATGTGTAGGTAAGAAAATGGTATTGCATGGTAAGCCACTCAAACCATGCAGGGTCCAGAAAGACAAGTCAGTGCCTCATGAGAATCAGCCATGCTGGGACTGGGAGGAGCCAAACAAGGAGCCAACCAGTCAGCCTTTCTGGTAAGCCATGCAAGCCATGTGGGGTCCAGAAAGAGAAAAGTCAGATAGTGCCTCCTGGGAGCCCACTGGTGCACTGAGAATCAACCCCAAACCCACCCCTAACCCCAAGCAACTGGCAGATTCAGAGGACAGGCTGAGTTGAGAGCAACTGAGGTACAAAAAGCAACTAAATGCTTGTATTGTTTGGTTGATATTGCAAGCTTGGGGCTCAGAGCCTGAGCATCTTTTGGGAGAATGACAGTATACAATATAGCAAATATGGGGGATTTCCTTCTGTCTGTCTTTGAAGTCCAATATTGTTCTCACTGTTTTGTTTTGTTCTGATTGTTCTACTTTATTCAGTTGTTTTGATTGGTTTTATTCTGTTTTGTTTTGATTCGATTTTGCTATATCTGAAAGAATGGACAACTAATGTGAAGTTAACAAGATATATTATGGTAGCTATTATTGTTTTTTTAGTGTCTTTCTTTTAAGTTCTATACCAGTTTTGCTGCTGTGTTTTGGTTGACTTTGTTCTGTTTTGTTTTGTTTGATTTTATTATCTTTAAAATTAAAAAAAAATAGAAAACAAAAAGTGAGTGGTATTGCAATTACTATTTGTTAAAGAGTTCTAAGTATTTAGACATATAATTTACAGTTTAAATCATGTGACCTCTTCATTTATTTTCAAATTTTGGTAAGTGGGTTGAATAGTTGAAGATATAGAAGAAACAAATTTGTTTATATATTGATTATTATTTAAAATTAGGTGATTGGCATTTGATTCTGCTTAATTTTATAATTAAATTTAAATAATAAAAGTACTTGATATTCAAAAGATAAGTTAGTAAATATGAAAAGCTAAACCAAAAAATGGGAATTGCTAAAAATTATATAAAAGTTTTGGTATTAGGTGTGTGAACACTATATATCAAAAATCAAACAGAATATTTTGTACTGTAATTGTTTGATTGTTCATTTTTTATGATTTAATTTTGTAGCTCGAATAACTACCTCTAAGATAACAATGTATCAGCTTACTTTTTGGGGGGTGGAAATTCGCTACCATTTCTACCCTTTTTTTTCTGTTTTACTTTTTTAAAAAATAAAATAAGAACACAACTCAAAGGTACAATGGATGAAAGATTTTAGTAGATACTTCCTGAAGCAGTACAGATAAATTAGCCAATAAAATATGAAACTGTACTCAAATTTTTTATGTAATTGAAGTTATATGGGAAAAAATTGAATCTCCTCCCTCTACACCACATTATCAGTTAGATTTCACGTCTGATGCATGATGAGTGCATTTTCCCACACATTTCCTGGGTGAGAACTCTTCTCTCCTACTGGTTTATAGAAGACCACTTTCTCCCTATGCATTACTTGGAAGAGAAAGATGAGAATGAAAGGGGAAAGAGAGGGAGGGAGAGAGAAGAGAGAGAGGGTATCTGATGTTTTTTCCTCTTATTATGAAAGCATCATCATCTTTATAAAATTACAGTCCTACCCATACAACCTTATTTAACTTCAACCTCTCTGAAGTTCCTAAATCCAAGTACAGTAACACCGTAGGTGAATATTTCAACATATGACTTGAGAGAGGACACAATTCAGTTCATAATGCTTTTTAATTATCCTGTCTACTCCCATTTATTTCCTAGTCCACTACAACAAGACTAGGACAGGAGCTAATTTGAGTCAATAGGATGGGATGAAAGTAGTGTATGTCACTTTGGGATATAAGTATGAAAAACCCAAAACAGAACTCTAACTCTTCCTCTTCCTCAATAGGTGAGAAGACCTTGATCTTTGGATGATATAATGCATGATAGTAGAACTCCCATCAGCATGGATCTGTGGAACTTTTTATAGCCAAGAATCGCCTTGTCAAAATATAACATGATCAAAATATAGCATATTTAATTTATGTAGTTAGTTTACAGAATTACTTGTTATTTCAGTTTATCTGTAATTTCACTTCAGTGATTGTGACTAGAGGTAAAATTTCGGAGTCAAATGGCTTTGTATCTATCCTACTACATATACAAAATGTGTACTTGGGCTAGTTTATTCATTCAATAAAATTCTCATGTAGAACATTTATTTGTTTGTTTGTTTTTGTATCTACGTTTGCAGTGCTGAGGGCTGAATCCACGGCCTTGTGCATACTAGCCATGCACACCACCAATAAGCTAAATGCCCAGTTTTAAAGATTACATTTTAACTTCTATTATAGGTACTATGTTTTTAATAGATATATAATTATGCACTGTATTTTCATTAAAAATCTGTGACCTGAAGTTCGCATGAATATTGAAGAAAACCAACAAATTTTGTTGAGACTTTTGGAAGATGTTAGGGGCACTTAGCAACTTGAGAAAGCAAAAAATAAAGCAAGAACTAACCACTTTTTAGCATTTTGTAGATGGCCCTAAGAAATTGTAACTCAGATACAGAAAGAAGAATTGAGAAAACTCTAAAATGCTCAGACTTAGTTCCTTGTGAGTTTACATATGCTCATGATCTAACAACGCGATCTGGGTGTTGTTATCACTACAACTATTGGCCCAATTCAGTCTTCACTCTGTCAAAATTCATCTCCTCTTGCACCTGCACAGGATGTCTTTTCCAAGAGGAATTCGCTCAGATTTTTATTTATGGATAGAGCCTGGAAACACAAACTGCCACATTTATATGAATGTAGGGAATTAAGTATCCTAAATGTTCTTTTTACTTTTCATTTTTACTAAATATTCTTTATAAAAATGCATTCGCATTCTCTCAACACATGAAGGAATTGTTGTTTGTTCAAACTAACTTTAAAAACATTAATTTCCCAAGTTCATATTTTTTCCCACGTTCATATACTCCCAAAGCCAAAATTACATTTTAAAAGAATATAGTAGCTGTTAGAAGGATATTTGACTGGAAATAAACATCAAACAGAAACCGCTTTGCGTTTAACAGAGGAAATTCTATAATCCTTTAGTTACATATACTTAGTCGTTCTTATCAGAAAGCTAGATGCGCATTGACAGTGCTCTAAAATAAACATATCATTCTTCTGTATTGTACTTGGTCACTGAAATGCCTCATGTATGACTACCTACTGTGGTCACCCTAGTGCTATAGACACCCTAGTGTTTCCCACTACAAAAAACAAAGAAAGACTGAGCACTGGTAGATATTAGCAGCCCACAGGATACTGAGGAAACTTCACTAAAACTAGAAAATATAGACGAGCAAATCTACAACATGAGTGCTGCAGTGGTCTGGTCCTATCAGGGAGATCTCTAAAAGGTTCACCATCACTGATATAGACAATTAAGTTCACTGATTTTTTGACATTAGCCAAGTTTTTTCAAGCCTCTATGTCCTTTTCTGCTTTTTAAAGTATCAATATTAAATTGCTGAAAGCAAAGTATGTTTGTTTCTTTGTTTTTAATATGCATCCCCATTACCTCCAGTCTGCAGTATTTATGAAACCTGAATGACAGACTTGAAATGAACTTTTGTAAGTTCATTTTGTTTTAAATAGTAATTCCTTTCCAAATATTATCTTTACCATTGGAGTTAGTAACAGTTTATATTCAAAGGGAATGGATGGGTTAAATGAAATTTTTAGTTTTCATTTTTTGAGGAATCCTGTACGGATTTGCACAGTGCTTATACTATTGTACATTCTCACTATCAATATAAAAGTGTTCAACTTTGTCAAAGAAGTTAAGGACACAACATATTACAGGGACACCTAAATACCTGTGTATATAGCAGCACACATTGTAGTAGCTAAATATTGGAAGTGACCTATAGGTTCATCAACAAATAAATGGATAAATAGTTTTGTATTTATACATAGTGGAGTACTAATTTGACATATAAAAGATAAACTTATAGAAAATTAGGTGCATGTTGAGACCATAATACTTTTTTTTTTATTTTAAAAAACAAAACAGGCACAGAGATTTCCATCCCATAGTGCAGTCTCTGCACATCACTTTGAGCCTGGTAGGGCACTGCAAGCATGCCCCATCACTGGAGGATGCCCCAGACAGTCCCATCAGATCTATTTGGGCCCCACCCAGAGCCCCTCAAGTGGCCTCTTGCTGCCTGTGCTTAGTCTCATGAACCTGAAGTGTGTGCTGTGATTTCCATCTTGTGATGCAGCCTTGGCAGGTCACTTGGAGCCTGGTAGGGCCCACCCAATGTCTCCTATCACCAGAGGAACCACAGAAAGGTCCCTCCAGACCTATTTGGGCCCTGCTTAGTGACCCTCGAGTGACCCAGGGTTGAATGTGCTCAGCCTCAGGAGCCAAAAGTGCATGATGCGATTTCTATCCCACGGTTCAGCCTCACCCCATCCCTTAGAGCCTGAACCCGCACAGCTTCACACATCACTAGAGGATCCACCTGAGGTCCCTCCAGGCCTATTTGGACCCTGCCTTGGGACACCCCAGTATCCCAGAGCCACCTGCACTCTGCCTCATGAGCCAAAAGTGTGTGCAGTGATTTCCATCCTGTGGTGCAGCCTTGACGCATTGCTTGGTAGGGCCCTGCTCATCATCCCCCATTACTGGGGAACCCACCAGAAAGTACCTCCAGGCCTATTTAGGCCCTACTGAATAACCCCCAAGTGACCTGTAGCTGCCTGCACTCTACCACATAAACCGAAAGTGCAGGCAGTGATTTCCACACCATGATGCTACCTCGGTGCATTGCTTGGAGCCTGGTCGGCTCCTGCGCAGTTTCCCGCATCACTGGAGGACCCACTACAAGGTCCCTCTGGGCCTATTTGCGCCTTATCTAGTGACCCGCAAGTGGCTGGGAGCTATTGGGTAAGGCCTGTCTAGGGACTGCCAGTCAACTAGAAAAACTCGCTGCAGTAGGGATAGATATTCTCAGCCCAAGAAACAACTGAGACCCTGCCTTCAGCACCCTTAAGGGAATATAGGAAAATGAGAAAACAATAGCAAAATGTAATCTCAAACCTCTAGCCCATCCCAAGCAAGTCTAGGAGACATAGACATAGAAGAAAATGCAAGCAATACACCTGAAACTCTTGAAATGATGTGAATGAAGTAAAGAAGCATCTTTAAGAAACTATAAAAGAACACAGATCAGAAATAATCTCCCAGGTAAAAGAAGAAATGATAAATGTAATGAAAGAAATGCTGAACTCATCTAAAGAAGATATAATTGAAAAATTAGAGGAATAATGCAAAAAGATGGAAACCTTGAATGAACAATATAAGAAATGAACAGAATGCATGAAACAGATTCAAAGAGATATGAAGGAAATCAAAAATTCCTTGGCAAGTGGCAAAATTACTTCAAAGAAAAAGAAGATAGATTTTCAGAACTTGAAAACAACATTGCAGCTCGTGAACAGTCAAGATCTTTTAAAAATAACAAGGAATCAGAAAATAACAAGTCAACAGCTGCAAGATGATGCATTAATGCCCTCTTTCTACTCCTCCACCTCTCTATTTATACTGGCAACTTTCCTCAGGTGGAGCAACTGTGCTCAGTGCCACGCTGATGTAATCCAGCTGGCATGAAGTTGACCACCAGATCTTAATCCGTAACAGTGGAACTTGTCCCAGGAAGGCAGGAATAGTTCAACATATACAAATCAGTAAAGCCAAATCTACCATATCAATAGAGCCAAAGATAAGAATCACATGATAATTTTTATAGATGCAAAAAAAGTTTTCTTTTTTTTAATTTTATTTAAGAGGAAAAAGAGAAAAACACAAAACAAAACAAAGCGGTGTAAGGGTACACGTAATACAGAACTACAAAAAAAAAAAAACATAACAGTAAGAAACCACCTGTTAATAGATTACATATTATCATCTTGAAAATAGTTGCTCAAATCACAGTATCAAAGAATACAAGGTGGACATTCAAACAGGGAGACTGCAAACAGCTGTGTTCAATGATCCAAAAACATTGATATAGTCAGCTATTTAACACCCCTAAACACACTTGCTGTTATATCCGTTAGAGCTATTTTTATTTTTTTCCCTCTCTTTTTTACAACAAAATTTACACATTTTGGATTTTATTACTCCTTAGTGCTTATTACTTTTTTTTGGGGGGGGGGGAGAATACAGTCAAATATGGCAAAACAAAGCTGTCAGTCAAAACCAAGGATAGACATAGCACATGGTGTAGAACAGAGTACAAGGTTATCAACAATGGTTATCAACGTTGTCTCTTGTTTCCTTAAAAAGAATTGTCTATCTCATTAGATATTATAAAGTTGGACAAAACAGTAGAGAACAAGACCAATAAAACTTAGGCATTGTAAACATTACAGGACTTCCAAAGAAGACAATAGTCAAACCAGAATGGGCATCTTAGTGAATCTTATTGCCTTCAAAGTAGTTGCCTATATCCTCAAACTTGATACTATCATACAGAATGGAACAGAGTCTAATCAGTCAAAACAAGATCGTGGGAGTATTACAGGACTTCAAAACAAGTTAATAGGAGATCAAAAAGAGTTACTATTTATATATCCTAATTTTTAAAATTTTTTCCCTTAAGTAAGACAAACATAAGAAATGACTAAATAATTTTTTTAAAAGAATAAGGGGGAGATTGAGATAAAACAGGACATAACAATATAACAATAGAGGTCAAAGCATGACTGTTTCAGCAACCTAGTACTTCACCACCATATAACCTGACTTAATAGTAGTTACCATAGTGTCTGTCTTTTTCCTTGAAATATTTGGATAAAACTTCATATACTATAGCTTCAAATATTTCCATATCAAGAAGCCCAGAATAAAGCCTTTCTAATTAATGAGTGAAAACTTTATAAGGCTTCAAGGCCACCTAATGGGGAATCATGATTACCACATATTTTTATATATTTGAATCATTACTTACATCAGGGAAACTATTCGGTATTCACACATACGAGATTGATTTATTTCACTTATGAGTGTGGTCTCAAGCTGCGCCCATTTATTGATAAATATCTCAATGTGATCCTTCTTTATAGCTGAATAATACTCCATTGTATAGAAATACCACAACTTTTTTATCCATTCCTCAGTTGATGTACACTTGGGTTGTTTCCAAGATCTGGC